ATATTAACCCTAATTAAGCTTATAATCTTTATATACCTTATAAGCTCTTAAATACTTAGTTTAAGTAGTACTTTAGATAGTATATTCTAGAAGTAATAAGGAAGCTAACGAGCGACTTACGACCGGATTAAAACGGTATTTATATATACGGGTATCGCGCGTATCCCTTAATAGGAAAACGTACTTAAGATCTTAATAAGAAAGGATTTAAGGTAAACCTATAAGCTTATATTAGGTATTTAATAAGATATTATACTAATAACCTATACCGAATTTAAATTCCTAGGCTAAGTAAAGTAATCCTAACTAAGGATATAATCTTTAATAAAAAGACGTTTTATAATTAGATACAGAAGCTAAAAGCTTAGTAACTTAAACGGAAAGAGATTAATCGAATAAATCTCTCGATACGTATAAGTAATAACGTTACTTAATTAATTATCGAAGCATTAAATCTATAGAATTCGTTCGTATTATTTAATCGAAAGCTAAGTAGTAAGCTAATTCCCCTTCGGAGTAGCGAGCCTACCTCGGGTAACGAGGATTTAAATACGACTTAGTCCGCCGGTCCTAGCTCGGGAAAGTAATAGCCTTTAAAAGAAGAACTAAAGATAGATTCCGATAATTTAAAATACGAAACGGCTAGGTTTAAAGATAAGTAACCGTAAGAGGTAATAGAATTATTCGAATTAATCGAGAAAGAGATATAAGAGTAACTCGAAGCGGAAACCTAAGAAAAATTAAATAAAGAAGCGGATATATCCTACGGGCTCCCGAGTTTAAGACTTACTCTAATTATACCCGCGGAAGTTACGGGAAGTAGGAGTACTCCGATAAGAAGTATAAAGTAACTAAAGTTAAGTACGGCTACTAATAAAAGTACCGAAACTCCGGAGCGGCGAATATACTTCGCCGACGGAATAGATATTCGGGAATAGCCTCTAAAGTAATTAACTAAAGAAATTCGTATTTTCTTTAAAAAGGAGGAATAATATAACCTATTCCCGTAAATTATTTAACGTAAGTAACGTAAGAGAAAGGTTTATCCTCTTATTATTCGTTATAGTAAAAGAAAGAAAGGAAAAAGCCCGGAAAGAAATAAAGTAATAAGTAGCTTAAGTACTAAAGTTTACGTAATATCGGATAACCTAACGGTTAGGAATAACTTCTTATGAAATCGCTAGTTCGATTTCGTAATAACCTTCTAGCTTAATTAATTAAAAGGGTAGTAAGTAAAGAGCTACGATAAGTATATTACGCTATACTTAATTATCGTAATAACCGTTAATTAAACGAAGGCCGAGCTATTAAGCGTATCGCTTAATGAGATAAGAATTTACCGCGACGATTTACTTAAACCGCTAAAGATATAAAAAGACCTAGATAAGTATTTATTAGGAAAGCGATTTAAAGAAAATGCTAGATCTAAAATTAAGGCCTTCTTACGTATTAAAATATAACGTATTATTAATCGTAAACGGATAAGAATAAAGCTAATTTTATTAATATAGGTCTTTAATTATAAATTCGACGAAGATAATTTCCTTACTACCTATAAGTCGCGCTTAATAACGCGAGGAAACTTATAGCCTAAAGAGCTACTCGAGAATACTTACGTAGCTACGTTAGTAACGAAATCGTTCCGTATAATAATAGCTATCGTAGCTTAATTCGACCTCGAAGTTAATTAATATGACATTAAAAACGCGTTCCTTAACGTAGTAAGATCGAAAAGCGACCTTATACCTATAGAATTACTAAACGGGTTTAATGAAGAGGAAAAATACGCCTTCGTTATAAGAGTAATATACGGGTTTAGAGATTTACCCCTACTTTAGTTTAAGGAGATCGAGAGTACCTTTAACCGCCTGGAACTCCAGAGCTCTCTAGAGGAGCCGTACTTATTCTATATAGAAAGACGAGAAGTCTTCATATTAATATACGTAAACGATATATTAATTATAAACTATAAAAGCTTAGAGGCGATAGTATAAAAGGTAGCTTAGGGGTTAAAGGATACCTATAAAACGAAAGAGCTTAGACCGGTAAAGTAATATTTAGGGATTAAGGTAATACGTAATCGTAAAGTACGAATTATAATCTTAATATACGATACTTATATCGGGAAGATTATTAAACGATTTAAACTAGTAGATAATAATTAGTTTCTAATAATATTATTATTAATTACTAAGCTAGTAAAGTATATAAGCGTTATTTCGAAATAATAAGTTAAGAAATACTAGGAGAAAGTAGGGTTATTACTTTATAGCGTAATTATAATACGCCTAAACGTTACTTTCGTAGCGTCTTAATTATCTTATTTCCTAATTAATTTAAGACCTTAGTACTTTAAAGCGATTAATTAAACGATTAAATACCTATATACTATTCGCTTCTTTAATATTAAGTATAGGGGTAAGAATAATAGCGCCTAGGTATTCTTAATTAGTAGTAACGCTTCGTTTATAAATAATTCCGAATTAAGAAAGTCGTCTTAGGAATACGTAATATCCTTATTTAAAGGTCCGATTATATAGAGAGCCGTTCGTTAGGATATAGTATCGATATCGACGATTAAAGCTAAACTACTCGCTCTAAAGTATATAGCTAAGGAAACGATAGCTCTTAAACATTTCTTTAGGGATATTATCCTAAAGCTAGGAGAACCTTAAAAGATATATAGCGATAATTAGTAAACGATAAAACTAATAATAAAGGAGAAAGAAAGGATTAATACTAGGTTACGTTATATAAATATATAGAATATATAGCTACGCTAGGAGTATTAAAAAAGTACCTTTAAAATAATCTATCTTCCTATTAATTAAATGCTAGTAAACGGACTTACGAAAGCTTTACTACGTTAATCGTTCGAGTACTTTAAAGTATTACTTAACCTATAGAATACTCGCGGAGAAATAATTACGATAATACTTAAAGAGTCGCCGTAAGTACTACCGGTATATAAATTCTTTCTTTAATTAATTAATATATAAGTATAAAGTATTATCGTTATATAGAAATAGCCTTCCTTATTATTAAATACCGAACTCGTATTACTTTCGGATCTTAATATATAAAGGTTACTTTAAGATAAAAAACTTAGCTACGAGAGTCGCGAGTAGGGTTAAATTAATAGGATACGCGAGTATTAGTAGGCTCGTTTTAATATTCGACGATCTCCTCATATAAGCGATCGGCTTATCGGTATAATACGTCGTATAGGTATTATTCGAGAGACGTACGATTAATCGCGAGCGACTTCGGATTTTACTTCCTTAGAAGATTATTCTTCGTTATCGGAAAATTACTCTTTCTTTTCTTCTTCTCTAACGTCTTTTATTTCCACGTCTAACTCTTACTCTAAGGCGGCGGCCGATAAGGCTACGCTAGGTATTACGGTCGATAAGGCGGCGGAGACGTTATTTACGCTAGCTAAAGTAATAAAAGAGTTAGTAGGTATAGAGCTAAGGGCGGGTACGGCGGGAGCGGTCGATAGTTTAGTAGCCGAAGGGCTTACGCCTAGCTAGGTAAACTAACCGGAGTTAGCTACGCCTCGTCGTAACTTTACGGTCTCGGGAACCGCGGGTATTTCCTTTCCGTCCTAGTAGAAGGTTAAGAGCTCCTTTATTATCGTGGGATACTTTAATACTAAGAGTAATATATTAGTTATAAATAATAACCCTTACCGCGATAGCTCGAGCTTTTACCTTACGGTCGCTTAATGGGAGTATATTACGACTCGTATAATACGCGAGTTACGCTTTACGCGGATTATGAAAGAAGTAGACTTACCTTGCGATAATAAATTAACGAAGCTTTATTAGTTATATTAGCTTACGATCGTATAATTAATAGAATTACTTAATTATAGTTAGGTATATATACCTACGACGGATAACCTAGGGAAGAAAGGGAGAGAGAGAAGTATATTTAATTCGAGAGCGAGAAATCTTAGATATGTTTATATTTAACTACCTTCGTAAGAGAAACGGTAAAATCGGTTAATAGGGGTAACGCGCGCGAACGCGCGCGATAGTAATAAAAGAGATTAAATCCTAGTATTAATACTAAAGCGATTATTACTATATTATATATATAGCTAACTACCGCTTAATCGAAAGCGAGTAATTACGCGAGTAATTATTTTCATTTATAATAAACTATGGAATATTAAGTAGTAGGTACGAAGAATATATAACTTAAGAGAAAATACCATTAGTAATAAACCGGAATATATACGGATAAGAGGATATAGGGAAGCCCGAGATAAGGTACCTAGTAGTCGATTAACCTTAACGAGGCATAGCGAGATTAGGGAGTAATTCCCTTAGGCTATTATCGCGAGCGAAGGACTATAGTTAACTTTACTATCGTAAGCTTAACTAGGGGGTATATTACGTAGGTATATACCCCTAGTAGGAACTACCTAGCATACTTAAGCTAGTTAAGTACTACTATATATACCTATAGATTGCTCCATACTCTCTTATAGCTTTCCTTCTTTTCTAGTTAGTTAACATATACCTTCTTACCCGCATTTCATTGCTTCCTTTACGCATAACCTATTAACCCAAACGTAGCTCTCGCTAGCTACGTAATAAAGAATAACCCTTAAAATTAAGTATGTAAATTCTCATAGCTACAATATTACCCTAACGGTAATATGCATTAAGAATAGATATCTTATCTCATTAGGACGTAAGTCTAGACATTAAAAGTGGAAACCCCCACCTTAAAATGGGGGGTTTTTCCAGATATAGCTATGCGACTCCGTACCCTACCCCACGGTACTGTCTCTATATGACCTAGCTAGGTAGGTATGTAACCTTGCCGTCTCTGTATATAGGTAATCATCTACCTGCTTGGAACCAGTCTCCCTGTCAACGGCGATTCGAAGCGCTACTATACCGACTTACCAGCCTCTGACCACGCCCCTCTGAAGAGCGCAACCTCAAGCCACTCGAATAGACAGCTCTGTTTGCGACCGCACGGGCATGTCCGAAGAACCAACTCCCGGGAAGGGCAAAGGGAAGGAGAGGGAGAAGGCCGCAAGGAAGCTTCACAGGGCCATCGATGGCCTCTCCGATGAACAAGTGACCCAACTTCTCGATCTTAATCCCGCTCTCGCGCACGAACTCGGCAGCGGGCATGGCGATGGTGACCCTGGTGCGGCTGCCGAGGCGCTGAAGCGCCTGAACCTCCAAGAGATCATGACGGGGCTTGCCTCCAGCGGCAAGAATGTCAAGGATATGGGCGCGTACAAGTTCTGGGCCACCCAACCCGTCCCTAAGTTCGGGGAAGGCGATAGTCCCGACGAACAAGTCGCTGAGGGACCTATCAAGGTCCAGACTGTCGAAGAGATCCCGAAGGAACCCGCACCGCTGCTGGACGGATTCGAATGGTCTACGATAGACTTGCTCGACGACGCCCAACTGACGGAGGTTTGGGAACTACTGAATGGCCATTATGTCGAGGATGACGAAGCAATGTTCCGCTTCAACTATTCCACCAGCATTCTCAAGTGGTGAGTCTCGTATCTCGTACCAACGCCTCCGCCTTCTCCTTCTATCACTCTTGTGGGAAAACGACGGAGCTTGGGGTTGACGGGCCTACGTTCAGGGCGATGATGCCACCCGGGTGGAAAAAGGAATGGTACCGGGGAGTTCGGGCCAGCCAGTCAAGAAAACTTGTCGGTTTCATCGCGGCCATCCCAGTCGAGTTGCGCGTTCGAGACAAAGTTCTACACGCCTCCGAAGTCAACTTCCTCTGCATACACAAGAAGCTTCGCTCCAAGCGCTTGGCCCCCGTGCTTATCAAGGAAATTACGCGCCTATGCAACCTAGAGGGAGTTTTCCAGGCCATATACACCGGTGGCATTGTCCTTCCGAAGCCAGTAAGTACATGCCGATACTTTCACCGGGCAATCAACTGGCCGAAACTGTACGAGGTGGGATTCAGTCCCTTGCCGTCGAACAGCAAGCCCCAGTTCCAGATAAGAAAATACGCCGTGCCGGACCGAACCTCGCTGAGGGGGCTGAGGGAAATGCAAAAGAAAGACGTCGGCGCCGTGCAGGACCTCCTGACGCGGTACTTGGCCAAATTCGACATGGCCGCTGAGTTCAACAAGCAGGAGGTCGAGCATTGGCTATTGCACAATAAGAAGGATGCTTTAGAGGACCAAGTCGTCTGGACCTATGTCGTCGAGGTTAGATCCCCCTGGGTCGACTCATGGCATACATGTGTTAATCGGGCGTTCAGGATGACCACAAGAAAATCACCGACTTCATTTCATTTTACTGCCTCGAATCATCTGTCATTGGCCCTTCTACTCACTCCAACGTGAAGGCAGCCTATCTGTTCTACTATGCTACGGAAATTGGCCTGGCCAAACCCGTCGACAGGGAAGCTTTGAAAGCTCGGCTTAATGCTCTGGTTTCAGACTCTCTGGTGTACTGTAAACAGTATAAATTCGATGTCTACAACGCGCTGTCGCTGATGGACAACGCCCTATTCCTGGAGGAACAAAAGTTCGGCCCCGGAGACGGCCAGTTGCATTATTACCTGTTCAACTATCGGGCGAACCCCATTGCGGGCGGGATTGATAAGAGAAATCGCCTAGATCCCGAGGCGCTGAGTGGCATCGGGTTCGTCACCGCCTCTCCAACGACGAAGCAGTGTCCGCTAACCCGTAAACAGGAAGACGCAAATTTGACGTATGTAATCAGCACTCGAATGCGGTGTAGATGGTGGAGGAACCTGGTGCAGGGGCGGGCTCTCAGCAGATAGGCGCATGCGGCCTGTCGTTATGGATACCAAGTTCCCGGTTGCTTGAGCCAGAGGGGGGGAAGGGGGGGGGGGGGAGGGTGTATAGGATTCGTTGCTGACCCGGCCGACCTATATCTACTCCTTTCGTGAATTCGGGTACCGCCAACCCTTGATATCTCAGCTTGCTTCTCGCTTCGGTGACCCCCTCCGGGCAACCCCCCTTCACAAGGACTCCCGATAGTTGTTGGAGCGAGTAGACGCATTCCTAGGCCGAGATGTAAAGTGCAGCCTGGGAGGGCCTCAGCACCTCCACCCCAATCAGATCCCATTATCTATCCCGACAGGGTCATCCAATAGAATAGGATTGAAAGGAATTGCCATGTCGCCATGTAGGTATACATATGTGACCAATTGACGATCCCCTTGTTGGTTTATTGAGGTGTGAATCTGCTGTACGCCCTGGTCACGGCAAGATTCGTCAAATACCAACCCGGAGGCCGGATCGCGCCCGCAATCACTCGCACACGTGGCAAGGGTCAGATGATATACCATCGCCTCGACCGAGTCGGCTTGCGGACGTTTCCAGGTATGACCACGTCTCGCGACTCAGCGCGAATACTGCAAATCAAAATTGGGACCCGTGGGCTCGTGGCGCTCTTCGGGTGACATGATCCAACCTGCCGCCGAGGCTCCGGGGGCGACGGAACCCTACAAGATCTACTATCTTAAAAGACTATTGTCTCCGTCGAGGCCGAAGACAGTACCAAGCGGCTGATCCACGATGTGCGGGTACATGAAACTAAAGTGGTACTGCGACGAGTGCGGAGCAGTATGCGTTTCCCAGACACTTACACAATCATCATCCCGTATTGCCCGTACCCGTCGAAGATAGACTCACCGAGCTTCTTACGGGAAGGTGGGAAGAGAAGCGGTTATGGGCCTTACGAGACCGCGTCCCATGAGCTCGGGAAACCATCCAAGGGGGCTTACTTGCGAGCGGAAGCGCTGACTGTCCGTATCGTAGTGGTATACCAGCGATGATGTCAAAATCGAGAATTGTGAGTCATATGACTCTACAGGCGAGTGCGACGAAAAGGAATTTGTGAGAGAAGAAGAGTCGGATGCCGGCGGTCTCTGCGATGACTGTACGCGAGAGCAGGACGGAGACGCGTAAGGCGCGGGGCATCCACTCGACAGGACAGCATCGACGCGAGAGCCGGGGTCGAAGCTTGGGATAATACCTGCCTACCTGCCTACCTGCCTATCCACGGGTCGTCATCGATAGTTGTCGGGGGTTTCCTACGGCGGGCTAACGTCTGTTCCCTTCACAGATTACCCGGGTGGGTGTTTCAGAATACAGAGAGGAAGACAGACGCAGCGGGGAGGGGAGGGGGGCGACGCGCTCTCCCGGTATAGATAAAATATATCTAGAATTCCAAGGTTTCTTAGACCCCTTTGCGGGAGCTGGTGGTCGATATATATACCGGTGCATGTGGAAGGTAGTGTAACGCTGCCTATCGTAGCCATTGCATTCACCCCATCCGGGCTGCTTTCGATACTACCCATATAGATACGCGTCTGTGCCTACGGCTCCGGTATCTGAGAGATAGAGAGTAGTGGATGGAGAAGCAGTGGGGGCGAGATGTTTCGCGATTAGGAGTCTTGTCTGCATGGTGATGTTGCGAAACGTTATGATACTCAGGTGAAGCTTAGAGTAAAACGAGAGTAGATATATAAGTATAAAATATGATCCTATCCGAAGTAAAGTAAGAGGCTTTATTGATTATTGATTGATACATTGTCGAAGCGCTCCGCGCTTCTTTATACTTTCGTGCTAAAAACCTAGAGCTTCTTCGAACGCAAAGGAAAAGAGAGTAAGCAAAAACTAACGCTCGATTAAACTATGAGAAATTAACATTAACTAATCTATATATAAATAGGATTAAACTACGAAATATAAATTATAAAGAGGTAGGGAATAGAACTAAACTATAAATATATAAAAGTAAGTAAATAATAATATATAAACTATAAGCATAGATAAATTTTAAGTTAGTATAAAAAGAGGTTACAACTAATTATATTAATTCAACTTTTATATTAAGTTAATTTACATATGATCCTAAATGAGAAAAACTTTATAATTTAATAAAATAATAAACATTTAACATATTTTAATTCTTTTTAAAATAAAAATAGGCTTTATTAAAATGTAGCATATTAGACTTTATTCTTTTACCTTATTACTCTTTCTTATCTTATTCGGAGGATAGTTGTAATACGTTAAGCTCTCTGTTATACTAACTAATTATAAGGGTAAATAGTTATGTAAATACCTTTATAAGTTTATAGAAAACTTTATTTTTATCTATTAAAAGTCCGTATATGCGTTTTAATTAATTAAAAATTTATGCAACCTCCTTAAAAGAAATGCATTTAACAAAGCCGCAGCATACGTAACAAAATTCATGTACTACTATTTATCTACTAACGCATCAATTTCTTACCTATGTTATAACCCGTCTGTTCTGTTAGTAATACTACAGAAATTTTAATATATATATATATATGTTACGTAGAGAGCCACCTATATATGGCTCCCTACTTCTTCTCTAGTTACTCGCTTACTTAACATAGCTCTTAGCTCGCTTATGTAATATAGCTCGTAGCTCCCTATCGTTTATATATAGGTAGCTCGTATCTCCTTTGTTTATTTCCTTTCTTTTTAGATAGAGTAGTGGTGCGGTAAGACATGCCCTTTTGATGTATTACGTAATACGCTACGATAGGCCTTACGCCTATATAGAGTAACCATAGCTCCCGTAAGTATAGGCTACGCCATACTTATTATTTAGTTTAGTACCTAGCTAGATTGCTATTTTTATTATTTTTACTTAAATTAAAGATTCGTTTTTATTATTAGATTTATCATTCTCCGATTAATGCATTTATCTTAGTTATAGGTGCTTAAGTTACTTCGTCGTACCGCTATGACCGAATAAGTAACTTTTACGTTTTACTCCTTTTCTTTCTTTACCTCTTATGCCTTCGGGCTAGCGACTATTATATCTTTACGACTAAGGAGTATAGCTAAGATACGATAACTACATTAAATTCTTTATCTTTCGATTAATATAGCGGTATTAGTTTTATTTATCTTAGACCATCGTACGTATTATAATCTTTAATAGAATATACCTTCGAATAAACCTATCCGGGTTTTTAATATCGCGTACGCTTTATTCCTCCTTAATAGCGATTACCTTATAACTTTTTCGACCCCTTAACCTTTAGTTTACGGAGTTTTTATTACGCTACTAGGATTTAAAGGATATCGATCGCCGTCGGCGCTACTATATAACCCGCGAAGTAGTCCGCGTTTTACGTTAAATAAAGTATTCCGCCTTATGGTTATTTATTTACTATAAGAAGGTACGTATAAGCCCGGGAACTTTTACGATATTACTACCGCTAGGACGTTACTTAGCCATTAATATTTATAACGTTATTAAGCTATCGATATTACCATTTAATACGACGAATAAATAGCGCTCGTAGCGATTAACGTAAACCTCGTATAACCTTTTACCTACCTATAGGGAGGTATCCGTAAGCCTAGGAAATCTTTCGTCGTAATACTACCGTTATTAGGGATAGCATTTAGCCCTTAATACTAACCGCTTTTCCGAACCGTTAATAGTATAGTATATTTCGTGCGAATAAATAAAGCTTATAGCGATTAAGGCAGTTTCCTTATAGTTATTTACCTATTATATAAAGGACGTACGAGCGCCTTAATATAAATTACGATAACCTATACGACCCGTTACTTCCTTATTAATACTAAGGACGGATAAAGGCTAATAATAATTATACCCTAACCGACCTTACGATAGCTTCTTTTTTCCTTTAAACCTATTAATCGATATAGATTAAATGTATAGATATTAATAACTTATTATATTAGAAGTATTTTAAGATACCTAGGCGTAGCGATTCGACGATATAGTATACGATATAATATGGATATTAATATTAATAATATAGATAAGATTAATAAATTAATAGCTATTAGTAACCGATAGTTTTAAGGAGAATTAGGAATTAATATTAATAAAACTATGTAGATATAAAGGATTAATGAAACGGAACTAAAGTCAAGCTAATAGGTATATCTATATATAGGCTGGCCTTATATTACTAATTAATAGCTAATATAGCGAGAAGTATTAATATAGGCGTAAAACGGCGCTTAGCGGTAATACCGCTAATATTATTAAATAATTTCCGTTAGATCGAGACCGGCTTATGGCTATAATCGGTATCGTATCTAGCGCGATTCTTTACTCGGGATTTATTCCTTATACGTATTACCTTAACGAAGGTTATACGTTAAAAGTTCTAAACCTTAATAGGAGGGATTATCGTCGATTTATTTATAATAATTAAACTATTAGTCTAAGGAATACGTATCGTATTTTAATTAGGCGTTAGCCGACTAGAGAAGCTCGTATAATACCCGGATCTTATCGATCGGGATAGTATAATAAATAATAATATACTTATACTAAAGAAGAAGTATTAGAATATAGATAATAGCTATCTTACCTTTACCCTTATATTAAATAATAAGACCTTTATTATTTCCCTTTTTATTTTATACCTCGTACCGTTAGACCAGACGAAGTCTATAGCTAGGAAACGGAATAAATCGTCATTAGGACCCGATGTAATAAAGACTAAACTACTAATAAAAACCTTAAGAGTCGATATTAGCTTTCCGTCCTTATATCCGCCCGAAGAAGAAGAGAACGATAATAAAACTCCTACTTAACTACCCCTTACTCGCGGTTTTATACTTATTCCGCTAATCCCTATGGCATTATTTTAGAATAATAATAACGAGGCTTTTAATAACTAGAATATACCGATAACTATCCCGATTATCGTAATACTAGCTATTAGATTCCTAAACCCTACCGATTACTTTAAGCTTAAGTTTAATAAACGTAACGTAATTTAATAACTTAAGAAGGTAGCTCGATTATTTAACCGTTACCGTATAAGCGACGACGATAAGATTAAGAAGATCGGTAAATGGATTACGATTAAGATTATTAGGAAGCGTATTAACCACGTTATAAAGGATTAAACGATCTAAAGAGTTATCGTTATAGCCCTGAAGTACCGTTTTAGGATTACCGATAAATTAAGCTAAGCTAACGTTAAACGTAAACTCGTATAATTAAAACGAAGTAACGTAATTAACGATCCTAAGGCGATTTTTACGTATCTTATAAACTATAAACGTCTTTTTAGTCTCGTAAACGACGACGGAAAGCTTTCCTAGAAAGTAAGATACCTAATCGATAAATTCCGGATATCTTTAATTATAAAGTTCTATAAAACGGGAAACTACGATTATAATAAGATCGGAAATATCAACTACCGGACTCTTTATACCTAGCTCTATAAGTAAGCGGAACGTCGTATAGTAATATAAATTACCGATAGGACTTAAGCCGAGGAACGACGATAGTATAAAACGGTAACTTTCGAAGATCCTAAAAAGCCTATAAT